GGGGGAAGAGGAGGAGGAGGTGGGGGAGGTAGGAGGAGGAGGAGGAGGAGGAGGAGGAGGAGGAGGAGGAGGAGGAGGAGGAGGAGGAGGAGGGAGGAGGAGGAGGAGGAGGAGGAGGAGGGGAGGAGGAGGAGGAGGAGGAGGAGGAAGAGGAGGAGGAGGGGGAGGAGGAGGAGGAAGAAGAGGAGGAAAGGTAGAAGATGAAGAAGAAGACGAGCAAGAATATAAAGAAAAAACAAGAAAAAGAATAGAGGGAGCAAGAGAAAACGAAAAAGAACACTAAACGGGGAAGAAAGGGATAAACCAAGATAACAATCACCAAATACATAAAGCAAAGAAAAATAAAATACAAAAACTAAGACAGAAGAAAGGGCAAAATAGGAGGCGAAAAGAGCGACAAAGACACAAACGTGAAGAGAATTAAAGAGAGAGAGAAGGAGAAGAAATTCCCAAGAGACGTTGGAGGAACTTGACATAAACACGACGAAACAAACACTCAGATGTAAACAAACAAACGTAAAGGGGGAGGCAGGGGGGGAAGGGGGGTGAAGGGGAAAAAAATATTACGTAGAAAGATGTGTAATGAAGTGAGACAACGCAAAAGAAGAAAGAGAAGAGGAGAGAACAAACGATAAACGAGAAATTTTGAAGATTAACACTCATTAATGTATATAAAATCGCAAAATAACACACGTTAAAAGCCACGAGGTCCTTACATACTTTATTTCCACTAATTTTTTTCGTATTTCGGAGATGAAATCCTGTACATAATATTGACGTAAAAGCATACACTACCTTTTCAAGTCATGGGATATTATTCTCTTTGTGACCGACTTAACTTAATGACAAAATGACCAGCGTGTTCGTTAATACCTCAGTGTCCATCCTCCAAACAGAAACACAAAATAAAATAAAAGTGAGACTGAAACTGTGCTCGATTTAAATATTCTGGTCTCGCATATTTTCCGTGAAAAGTGGCTACCATCTCCCCCCTTCCCCCCCTCCCAGCCGGCAAAGGCTCTTCATATCGGTCACAAGTTATGTTGACTTGGTGACTTAAGGCGGCGCCAGGGCTGTAAGACCATAATTCCGTGTCTGATAAGTTACATATGGACCTTAGCACCTTCAATGGCATGAGTGTAGCCGCCTTGAGGACGGTTTAAGTTTTTTTTTCCCTTCGTTTTTGCGTGTATTTATCTTGAGGGAGGACTGAGGTATTCATAAGCACGTGTCGTGTGTCTGAACGCACATACATCTACATACAACACACACACACACACACACACACACGCGCGCGCATATACATATAAACAAAAACAGACACAAACATAGACGCAAACACACGCACGAATAAAAACACAAACACATACATGCGCACACACACACAAAAACACTTACAAATACACGAACACGCACACGCACACACACACAAAGACAAAGACAAAGACACACACAAACACTGTTCATATACACAGATATACACACGGTTTTGTTAATATTTTCTTGAGTATATTTTAATAAAAAAATATTTATGTAACCTTCTTGCATATACTCATCTTATTTATTTATAGCATCATCTCTGAATAATTGTAATATTTTTAATCGATCACACTGGATTAGTCATTGGATATTGCAGATTAATGACTTTCCAGCATGCATCACCAATGACTGATTGACTATGTATAATTTTATATAATTTTAATAATAAATTCATATATAACTTTTAGATAGTGCCTGGAGCTTTTGTAATTAAAGAGAGCGCCTTGTAAAATATTCATTATAATGCAGAGACATACAAATATATATTCATATATGCATTTTCACGAACTCATTTAATGGATAGTACCCATTAACTGGCATGAGTGTCATTTATGCAAGTAAAGAGTGACATCTTATTCTTAATACAATTAATAATTTTAGTCTATTAATTTTAGTCTATTCACACCTTTATGGGTGAGATGTAAATACTGTGTTATTAGTGTTTTGCTAGACGTAATGGCTTAGGATTTAGAATGGTATTCAAAATGTGTAAAACGCAAAACTCAAGTGTGAACTCTCACAAGATATACACGCTCGAATAGTCTTTCTTTGTATTTTTTTAAATATTTCTTAATCTATACTTTTTCGAGGTGCATTAAATGAGGCAAGACGTAGTCCGACGCGAGACCTGTCAGGGCTTAAGCACGTCCCCAGAGCCTCTGCCTTAATGCGGGTAATACTGAACAGTGTGAGCTTACCTTGCAAAGAACGTGGCGGCCGCCGAGTGCTGCGACCCCGGGGACAGCGCCCTCTGTCGCCTGCCGCCCTCGTCCTCCCCGACGGCGCCTCCTGCGGCGGCGGCGGCCATGTGGAAGTACCTGAGGCCCTGCGCCGAGGCGGAGGACGAGGAGGCCGAGTGATCCTCCCGGTACCTCGCGCCTCCAGACGCCTGCTGGAGGTCCCGGTGGGCGTACAGGTGGGAGTCGTGGGCGGCAAAGCCGGGTTCCTGCATGAGCTTGACGCCCACGCCCGGAACCCCAACCATGCCCGGTCTCTGGGCGTGGGTGGGCGGGGCGGGCATCTGTGCCAGCAGGGGATGCCGCCTGTCACCCACCATCACTGTGGCCGCCGACCAGTCACTCACTGCCTGCACGCGTAAACAGAGAAGCTGTTAGTCTCGTCGCGCTTAAAGAGGAGTGTAAACAAAGTAGCATTAACAACAATAACCCGAATAGCAAAGCGAACGAGGTAATAATAATAAGCTCAAAGTATGAAGACCGACAAAAAATATTATTAATGACAACCAACTCTAAACTAAATTAAGATGAAAAAAATAATGACCGGAGTGATGCGAACCTGAGGAACAAGTGCACGTAATCTGACTGTGCTTCCATTCATCACAATTAATGATGATATGCTCACCGATCATTCATCACAATCTGCGAAGCTTTGTTTGGTAAACCACCGCAGAGACTAAGAGGCGAATCGGGAAGCGCAATGAAGCCAAAAAAGGGAGGTCATTATACAATAGAAAAAAAATACAGTAACAAGAAAATTGAATAAAAAGTGCAAATCCCAAAAAAAAAACACTGTCATTACCACGAAAAAGGGAATACCGAAAGGAAAGACAATATAACAGCAATAGAGAAAAAAAGAAAAAGAAATAAAAAGAACTGTGGATCCTTAAAAAAAAACAAAAAAAAACGAACAACCCTTAAAGTTAAAAAGAAAGAAAATAACAGATCCTTGAAAAAAAACAAAAACGAACAACCCTTAAAGGAAAAAAACAGTACAGAACACTAATAAAAAAGGGCTAAAGAAAAAGGAATAAGTGGTTCTGTAGCGCAGACAGAGATATCTGCCACAACCCGCAATTTAATCTATTATCAATACTAACATGCCGTCACGCAGCGGCCCCGAGACAGAGCTCTCTAACCGCGCTCGCAAACAGAAGCACCTGTCGCTTGGAAACGCCGCGGAAGGGTGAAAACGAAGAGGGGGAGAAGAGAAATAAGGAAAAGGAGAATAGGGAATAGGAAAATAGAAGGGGAAGAGGGAAAAAAATGGGGAGAAGAGAAATAAGGAAAAGGAGAATAGGGAATAAGAAAATAGAAGGGGAAGAGGAAAAAAAGAAGAGGGAAAGGAATATGGAAAGGAAAGGACAAGTAAGAGGAAAGGGAGGGATGGAAACCAACAGAGGAGATAGGAAGGGGGAGTGGGAAGACGAAAAAAGGAGGAAGTGACAAAGAAGAAGGAAGAGAAGGGTGAAGACGAAGACAGAGAAGAAATAAGAAGGAGACTAGAGAAAAGGGAAAAGGAAAGGAATGGGGAAGGGACAGACGAGAAAGTAAGAAAGGGTGAAGAGGAATGGGAATGAAGAAGGGAAAAGAGGAGAGCGAGAGGAATGAAGAAGGGACAAACAAGAGAGAAAAGAGGTATGTAAATGAAGGGAGAAATAAGAGAAAGTAAGGGAATAAGAAAAGCAAAACTAAGAGAAAGAAAACGATGGAGAGAGAGCAATAAATGAGGGAGGAATAATGAAGAGGAAAAAAGAAGATAGGAATAGGAAAGGGACAAACAAGAGGAGACAGAGAAGGAAAACGAAGGTGGGAGAATAGTAATAAGAGAAATGAGAAAAAAAAAGGAAAACGAAGATGAGGAGGAATAAGAAACCGACAAAAAGGACAGGCAAGTATGAAAAGGAAGGGAGAAGGGAGAAGGGAGAAATAAGGGAATGGGGAATGAGGACCTTAAAAAGATGGGAGAAAGGAATGGCGAAGGGCGGAGGAGAGACAAAGAAAGGGGGGGGGTGAGGAGGGTACAGGAGGTTGAACTAGATTAGGGAAGGAAAGAATATGAAGTGTAGTGAAAGGAAAAAAAAAAAAATTATAAAGGTAGGTATTGGGAAAAATCCATTAAAATAATATAGGAAGGTAAGATTGTGCTTAAGTACTTAACCCAATCGCCAAGTGTGGCAAAAATACATGCCATGCCCAACGTAATACAAGTTTATTTATTGTATTTACACACAGATGGCAAGTATTCAGTCACCAAGGAGTCGGTTATTAGTTCTACCTATCTTCCCTATTTACCCCTTTTTCTCGACTTTTGGAAAGGATCTTTTGCATTATTTGTCTTAAATGTTATCGAGATTTGGATAACAACATAATAATCATAACATCAATAACAATAATAACAGTATCGATCTCAACTGAATTAAAAAGAAAAAACATATTTTCCCGCCAATTCAAGGAATGGGGAAATCAGTATCGGTCACGAGGGCTACTGATAGACTCCTTGCCGGCTGAGCACATGTGGAGCCATCTGTAGGTAGCAACATTAACAAAAGCTACAGGGGGTGGAAAATAAATCCGGGGCGGTTAATAAAAGTTAAAGTGCAATAATATTAGCACGAGTAACGATAATAAAGATGATAAAGATGATAATGATGGTGATAATAAAATTAGGGATGATGATTATAATGAAAATGATGATAATACAAATAATGACAGTACAACTAC